CACAGGCAATGTTACCACAGACCCGCGCCTGCAAGAGGAATTTTCTCTCTATGCGGGGAAAAATTCTTGCAGGTGCGGGTCTGTGGTAACATTGCCTGTGTCTGCCGCCCCACCCGACCCAAAGATGCTCGTAGCACACATCGGATCTCGGTGCTCTTGGCCTCGAGAGAATAATTAGTCAAATAATGAAGCTTGTATTATTGTGTGTAGCACACCGCAGTTTGCGAAGATGTTGGAACAGTTTCTGCATCTTTATGCGCGGCTCTATGAACCAAGCCTCTGTCTTCATGGCCATCTGGGAACTGATAGTTTATATTACCCGGACGCAGAGGCAATCCTGGCAAAGCAGATGTTCCACAGATCCTTGGTATCGGGTGCACAACTTAGCAAGCGCGTCGCCTTCTTCATGTCTGCGCGACAAGCTCCAATCTGCAGAAGATCTCAAAGCAAGACACCAACGCCGTTTCAGTGGCTGCAAGCAAGCAACGAGAGCCTAGGCCTGTGAGCCTTGCAGTGACACAAAGACAGTACTTTTGACCACCCATGAAGTGGGACTGGTCCGTAATATGAGCATGCCGCCTGCAGCTGCCTCAGCAGCTTTCCCAACAGTATCAGCTCTAGGTCCTTCGGAACATAAATCAACAAACTATATAAGCCTGTTTGCGACGGTTGCCTGTTTTGCACGTCCTTGTACAGTAGTTACAACCATCGAGCAAAAAGCCACAGCCTTCTCAGTGCAGCAATCTTGTGCGAGTTGTTTTGAGACTGACGTGTCGGATGTCGTGGGCATCGAAACTAGAGTTTGTGGCTTCCTTAGTGTAAGCTTCGACCCGACAAGTGCAGTGTAGGACTTTTCCGACCTGACAGGTGCTTGCCCCCCGCCGCGGTGTGGCAATGCGCCGTTCGAATTTCCACCGTGGCGTTCTTGCTGATATTGTTTTGTATGGGTTGTGGAGGCTGCCTGCTTATTTTTGCGGCTACGCTGGGAGTTCCCGGAGAGTCAGCGATGCAATGCAATATTTGGTCGTCGCAGGATGCCAGCTTTGCTGCTTGGAATTCAGATTGCAGCTGCCTCTGCGCCTGTGATCTATTAAAATCTCGTTTTCCAGACACGTCGCAGTGCGACCTCCAGGAGGTTGAGTCCTCCATGGCAGTCCTTGCATGTGTCGTCCTGGTGGAGATCCTGCAAGCCACTGCGTGTTGGGGGTTGAGGTGGCTGATGCCATTGTGGCGTGCTGCGTATGCTTCACAGCTCGAGGCTAGCAAGATGTTCCTCCTGGCTCTTGCGCAGGCGTCTGCACCATTGTCTCCCGTATGTGGCCTGCTTGCTCTAAAGTGGCTTTGGTCAGAGCAGGTCCTTCCACCTCAATTGGGTGCATCTGGAGCAATGAGGTTGCGACTGCAGCAAGTGGACATATCCTTTCACAAGTATGCCATCCCTATCATTTTCGTTTGGTGCTGTCTGCGATGGCTGGCCATAATACCTGAGGCACTTCTTATATGCAGAAGATCACATGCTACCAGTTTTATGCTCTGGAAGCAGTATGCTTCCGTGGCATCGGTGGTCGCTGTATCAATCGCTTTCCAGCCATTCGCACCCTGTCTTCCTTGTGTTGGTTTCGTGGGAGCGCTAATCTGGTACTGGGCCGTCAAGTCCGTCATTGCGCGAGGTGCAGTGACGGTAGCCGAGCTCTCACAAGCAACTTTCCGATTTCCCTAAACCCTAAACCCTAAACCCTAAACTCTAAACCCTAAACTGAAATGTGGGTCGCAAGATGGTTCGGAGACTTAGGTTCGCTTCGGCACACCAGTGCGTCTTGCGCTGCTGGCGGCAGGGCGGTTTGCCAGCTTCCTGTGGGCAGCAAGCTTCTTGGGCTGCTGTTTCGTGGCATGGGCAGTCTGGTATCCTTCAGACACAGACATGCAAGGCATAATGGAAGGAATGTGCGGCTCAGCCTTGCCGGTTTCTGTATTGGCAAGCATCTTGCTAGCGTTGCCCTTTCTGCTATGGCTATGTCGACGAATCCTGTGGCTCCTTTGTAGCATCGGGCCTCCACCCGGAACCTGGCGACCACTCGTCCGAAATCCTCGAACAGATGGAAGCAGCTGGCGACCGCAGAAGGTGCCGATCTCCAGAATAAACTTCCACGAAGCCTGGCTCGTCATGCGCCACCGTTCCATCCTTTCAAGCTACGGTGGCCTGGCAGTGCTGTTATTTGTAATTAGTCACGCTACGTAGTCATGAGCCTGCGGCAGTCACCCAACCATAGTGAACACAGAACGTCGAGAGGTGAACGCTCACACATCTGCGCACACACACACACACAAACCATTTGCGACGACCAGGCCTATCGGATCATCCAGACTACCAGCCGCTTCTGAAGCTGCTCTTGCCGGACAGACCACAAGTCACACTGGCAGAAAAGCCCAAGGAGACGGCCTACCTGGGGCGAAGCATTGACATGACATGCAGCCGCGCCGTTGTTCAAGAATCAGCCCCTCGTCGAGCTCAACTCCCACCATAAATCGGACGGGGTGTCCTTACATGCGTCCGCTGGCACTGCCGAGGTGTGCTGACAACATGTCAGCCTGCACCTTTACTCCTCAGAACGGTGCTTTTCCCCGGAAACATCGAATAGCGATGCTTCCTCGGAGTAGTTCGTCTTGCCAAGCTGAGAGAGAAAGACTCCACGGCAAGCAGAGTCACGGGCGCAGCAATAGGTTATGCAGTCAGCTCCCGAGGCAGACACAGATGCAGCAGTTGGTGCAGCGTCAGCTGATGCAGAACCAGTGGCTCGGCTTCGAGAATTTAAACACAGCGATGGCAATAATGATTATCACAATTAACAATGTAAAAGATGTCAAGGAAGATATCACGAATAAGAATGACATGATCGGAAGGATCCCTGTTCAAAGAGCTTTACCTTGGCATTGGCAGTCTTCGAGGTCTCCGCTCCCAGTGCCTGCCGGGACGAGAAGCACGCCCAGCGCCCAGAATCCGAGCAGAGCTTAGTGGGGCTTGGGGTTTAGTGGGGTCCCTTCCGGCATGTGTTGGACATGCAGGAATCCGTGTGACCGTTTCCTCGGCTCAAAGATCGCCCTTTGTACATAGTCGTAGCGTAGGAGAGAGAAGCGACGCGGCTCGAAGATGATGTCCAAGAAGATGTCTTTGACTCCCCTCCCTGCTGAAAAGTTCCCGGAGTTCAATGGATATGCGGTGTTTATGCACCTAGGCTGAACATCAGAATGTGTGTTTGTAGACGGGCCCCTTTTTGAGGCAAGAAGTCTGCAATTGACACGACACGGTCTCCTGCTCGCAGGAATGAGCATTTGGCAAGGCTGCCGGAGTCAGCTCTGACAGAAGCACCTTTGAGGCCAGGGACTCTGTCACACATAGGTCATCGGAGATGTTAGGCTTGATGGCCAAGATCAACAGTGAGGGGGAGGATTTCATAGGACGCGGTACTGCTTTCCACATGCCTCTTTCATGCCTCTGCACCTGCTGTCAGCTTACGCTGCAAATGGGATGGGTTCACCGACTCCGAAAAGAAGGCCTACGAGGACTTGCTGTAAGCTTCCCGGTCAAGCCTCAAGACTCCTGAATTCACGAATATTCTTGAAGTATGCATGATGGAAGGTGCATCTGTTCCTGAATTGCAGGGTCTTGGGCTCTTTAGGTCTTCCCCCGATATTTCGCATCCTTGTGGCCTTTGCAGGACAGGGTTCCCACAGGTCCAGTGGTTCGGGTACGCGCCGCCGCCCCGTCCCGTCGTCTCTGGCAAGCGATTTCTGAGGGCTGCAAGCGCCAGAAAGTTTCAGACACTCGGAAAGCGACAGGTGTTTGTGGTGGGGCTTAAAGATCCACTGAACCCTGTAAATCCCGAATACAAGCCTTATCAGGACTCTGAAGAAGCCCCACTAAACCTCTAGAGGAGTCGCTGGAGCTAAGGAGATGACGGGCTGAGAGAAGATGGACCTTTTCAGGTCGCTTTCTCGCGAGATCTGATTCGCAGTGCATTTGGGCGGAGAAGAAGCAACAATCTCCAGAAGAGAAGGAGTCAATCATAAAAAGTCTTTTGAATTCGCCACGATTTTGGACGGCCCGGTCCCGGACTTTTCAAGGCAGCAATGAGGCAGGTTGAAGTTGGGCCTGTGCATTTCCCCCACGACACCGTCTGACAGTATAGCATACATATATACATACATGCAGAAAGATAGATAGTTATATATATATATATATGTATATATTATGTACATAGATAGATGGATAGATAGATAGATAGACAGATAGCACATGCACATATACATGCATGTGCATGTGTGTATATATATATGTATACACAACATAACTGAATATACGTAGGTATACGCAATGTGATATAATACCCACAGTCCAGGCTAGAAGAAAGTAAAGCCCAAAAAGTAGGAAACCGGATTAAGGACAATCTGTGCCGCCCTACACATCAATCACACTTAAGGATTGAAGCTATTGAATTTCAAACGTTTGGGCCATTTTGGGCTTCTACTGTAGCATAGCATCGTATAGTATAGCATAGTATAGGATAAGAGAAGACGACATGATTGAATAACGCGAAGTATAGTGCATCACGATGCAACATGGTATTGTAAGGTGTAATCTATTCAATCTCTTGTAACTGTATGATTCTGCAAGCCTTGCTTCTCGAAAGGATGGGGCCAGCTCCGAATTCCAGGTGCGACGATCCGTCGCTGGAGTAGGTTGACCTCAGGTTAGTCGGGGTCGCGATTACAGCAAATACACAGAAAAAAACATGCACACACGGCTTCCGGACTGTCAGGCTCCGCATAGGCAATGATATCCGATCGACCCTGGCATCCACTTAACATCTCCCTCCTAACTCAAGCACTTTTATTCTTTAACATGCTGAGGCGTTGTTTCGAGCGGCAACTGCCAGAAACAGTCTGGACAGCCAGTGGAACACCCCAAGAGCCAGCTGCCAAACCCGAGCTTGGCACAGAATGCTTAGAGCCTCGATGTCAGGTTGTTATGCATCAGGTTGGGCCACTGTGGTCATAGGCAGACCAAGAGCAAGAAGCTTGTTTGCCAACCTCCCGGCGAAGAAAAGCCCAAGGAAAACGGTCCTGATGACGGTGCACTTTTGAGAACCTTCAAGTGCAGATTCTGCTTGCATTTTTTTGCTGATTCCAATATGTCTTCGCCGGGGTAGGATTGTGCATATGCGCAGTGAGCAGCATGATGATGCATTATGACGCTGTTCCGGGCGTTTGAATGCGCTCTGAGCGCATCTGTTGCAAGTCTTTGGCCTGCTGCCGAAGCACAGGACGAAGATTCCAACGCACTGCAGAACTTTCATGGTTGGGGCTTTGTTGCTTGAGAGAGTCGTTGGGCGATGTGAGGCGGGCTTTCTAAATTTAGTCGTGTTCATGGAGTCAGATCAAGAGCCAGCAGCTGCTGTGGTTGTTGTGCAGTGCTTGACTGATTATGCCTTCAATGTTGATTGGTGAGGTCAGGAATCCTGACGAGGATTGAATCCAACACTTGACTGCTGCTTCGAATTCGAGCAGTCTTGCCTCACCCTTCAGTTTCTTTGAATGCGTGTCGACGCTAATCCAACTTTGCGGCTTGTGATTCAAAATAAAAGGATAGCCCGCGCCGACATGTCATGAAGGATATCGGAGTGCGGAAAGTCGATGCAGGGATGTCGAGTCGAAGCAAGCACGCAAGCGGCTTTATCCTAAACTGCTAATCCCCAAATCCTACAAAGCCTAATCCCGCCGTCCCGCGCCAAGGCACGAAGCACCAAGCCCTAAAACCTGTGCCCAGGCCCGATCCGTCCGGAAAGGCTGGAACAGGGCTCGTTCCACTACAATGTACCACTATAGCATACTATGATAAACTAACGCGCTTCGCTTCAGAAGTGTTCCTTTAAAGTGTCCTCATTTGAAGGATCCTCTCAGTCGTCCCATAGGGTTTACGGTTTATGGGGTGCTTAGCGGGGGTTTTGCAGTTTCCATTGGGTTTCTAGGGCTTAGCTTACAGGGCCTCCCTTGAGCGTGTTCGAGCAATTGACCTGCCAGGGCACGCATCCCGCCAAGAGCGCGAGCCCGGCAAAAGGCGGGGAGGAGTCAAGCCCTGGATTTCACCTTTCTAGGCTTGAGATCGCATTGCACAGCATGGGTCGGCTGAAGTGGAATGCTGACCTGCTCAGCTCCGCCACCTCCGGGTATCTCTGGAACCACTCCGATCAAGGCCGGCTTGGGTTGGGTTCTGCTTTGAAGCCCTTCTTGCATGCCTATATAGTTTGACTTGGCAGGCCGGCACAAGTGTCTCCAACCCAACAAGCAGGATGCTAAGTTTTGACACGTGCTCCTGGGGTTCTTTGCTCAACGGACTGATAGATGAGGTGACAAGTCTGCCGCGCTGAAGGCTGGTGCAATTATCGAGTTCAGCGTCGTGTAGTATATTATGGTACAGTGTATCCTAGTATAGTATACTATATATACTGCATCATATTACTATGTATTATATTATCACATTTTTAAGTATGCTGTATTACGTTATGCTTTCTTTATGTTATCGTATCTTTATAGCGCGCACATCTGCTCACAGGCCGCCTTGAACCAGGGCAGGACAGCGGAGCCCAGGCCAGGAGAGGGAGTTCTTTACAAGCGGTGCCCCAAAGCCCTAAACCCGAAATCCTATAAACCCTAAAAATCCTAGGTTGGAGGCAAAATAAACCCTGAATCCTACACCCTGGAGCCTTAAACCCTAAACCGAGACTTTTACGGGATCTGATTGTCGTTGACAGCATTCGCTGTGATGGGTTGTTTTACTTGAGCAAGACCTCGAGGCAGCTGCCTCGCCTGAGTGTCCAAGTGTGTGCGCCGAAACCCTAAACCGACCAGGACGGACGAAGCCGGCGCGAAAGCCGGACAGTTCTTGCTGAATTTGGTCAACAACAAGGAGGCCGATGGGTGGGCAGAGGGTGGCTGACGAGCGATACGTGCTTGGTATGGGCCAAGTTTCCTAAAATCCTAACCCTCGACGAGGCCCTCGACTCCCTACACTACAAAAGCTCCGAATCCTACACTCCCTAAACCCTGCACCCCGAGCCTCGTATGCTTACTCCCGTAATGTGCAGTCGTACCAAGAGACCTCGTCTGGCTTGCCCGAGTGGCACGAGAGCGGAATCCCCAAAAAGAGTAAGCCTAAACTCCCTAGACCCTAAAAGTGTTCCTGGAGGAAAGACCCGGCGCGATATTGCTGCAGCAGCTGAAGGGCGGCGCTGCCAGAGGCCACACGGCATCGTGACACTTGCGGAAAAGCCGTACAAAATGTAAATAGAAGATAGCTATATATATATATATATATATGTGTGCGTGTGTGTATGCCTTCATGTGACGAGAATATATTATTATATGCTATACTCAGAGAAGAAGAGATGATAAGATGAGGCATCCGTTAGCCCCACCGCGAAGGCAAAGCACCCGCCGACCTCTCTGCGTTCCGCACCGACAACGGTGCTGGAATGGCATTGCTGCAGCAGGTTCGGTCCAGTTGCTGGTGCTGCAAAGCGTCAGCAGAGCCGGCAAAGCGTGCAAGATCAGGTGAAGGCTGGAACACAGAGCCAGAATCCAAGATGCACGTAGCTGTTGCGTGCCGGCCTGCAAAGCTGCAGCGTTTCTTGCATGCGTTGAAGGCACCGAGCAGCCGAAATCGGAACAATGGAGCAGCAACAAAGGAGACACTCTTTCGGAGCTTGTGAAAACACGCTGCAATCTCGCTGCGAAACCCAGCTAGCTGCAGGACGTGGCCAAGGCGGCTGGTGGGGTGGCTCTCCAGCTGCACTGGGCGTGAAGAACCAATGCAGCACTACACACGGGGTAAGATTGTGGCATGGCAATGTAAGGTGATGCCTACTACGGCAATTACGATGAGACCGAGTGGGCAGACCATCGCAAGGGAGGTGGCAAGTACAAGTACAAGGCAGGTCTGCAGAGGAGACTTGCACCGTGAAGCATCAATGCGGAGCCGTATCAGGGAAAGACATCTGGAAAGCACGATTGGGCAACTTGGCTTCTTTTCAAGGCTGCTCGTAGGGTCGAAATGTGGTTCTGACACTGTATAAGGCCGGCTGGAACGGCACTGCACCCCAGATGCAAATGGTGATGCGTAGAATCGTGAGAACCTGGAGCTCTGCAGGAGTCCTCGTGGTGGACCTCAAACTCCGGCGAGGCCTTCCGGGTTTCCTAGATACAGGAGACGAAGGACGTAGAGAAGAGCAGCGTTGCGAGGAGTGGCTCGAGGAGTCCCAGAATTACTGGTGACCGCCTCAGCTTTTAGGGTTTGGGGTTTACTGTAAGGTTTAGGGTTTAGGGTTTAGGGTTTAGGGTTCATCAAGCCCAGTTGCAAAAACTGTAAGGTTTAGGGTTCCGGGCTCAGCTTTATCACGCGAAACTTCGCACTAGGACCGAGCGCCAGCGCAGCGCTCCGCAATGGGGAAGGCAGCAGCGAGTGCCTGCTGTCGATGGCAAGCGGTTGGGCACCTCTCAACCTGCTCCACAGGACGAAGAAGGGCGGAAAAGGAAAGAGTGGCGAGCTTACCTGTAGTTATTTACCACCCCGTCTAAATCAGAAGCTGCAAGTTCTTCACGGTTTATGACCAGGCGCAGTCCGCGATTACGAGGCATCGGAGTGAGATTCTGTGCGGTAGCGTGCAAAGTCCAGACAGGGGGAAGGTTAGATGTGTGATATGAGTGTGATGTTGGTTGTGCGTGTGTAGAGCATCCTCTTATACTTATACCTAAACCCTATACTATACCCTAAACCCTTGTCCGAGTTGACCATGATGAAAAGTGTGGGACTGTGGCTGCCTTTGACCTGCTAGTTGAGGTGTTCAGGGTAGTTCTTCTATGAAGGCGAGAGCTGTCCGTGAGCGACACTGCCAACTCCAAGACCCGAAAGCCCTAAATCATCCTTAACCCCAAGCCCTACACCATCCTTCCGAGTAGCACGTGATCATCTTGACAGTTGTCCTAAATCCTGATTTGCTTGCAGGAGGAGGAAGAGGAAGAGACATCCGAAGAGTCGGCCGCCCCAGTTCTGTGCTGTTTTGTCTCAGCATGGCTCGCGGTCGCTCCAGGGCCTAGTGTTTGGTTATCAGATGTAATCATGGCAAAAAGACTAGTAATAAGAGAAACAAAGGAATATGCCAACGCAACCCTGAAACAGTGAGAGATAGTGAGAGAGCAGTTAAACCTACAAGTAGCAGTCAATGGCCCTACCTTTAGTATCCATTGTAGCTCCTTTTCCAGCTTACATTGTCGAAACGAGCCTGCCCTAACGGGCTGCGGGACGTAGCTTCGCTGCAGACACCAAAAAGGCCCCCAACACCCCCCCCTAAATTTTCCCGGCATTGCCAAGGAGCACCGGCTCTGAGGACGCTGCCGAGGCCGGGGTCTGATCTGCAGTGAGAATGAGTACAGCCCTGTGGGTTGTTTGATTCTGGAGCTTCTTAGAAGTAGGGGTACCTTGTTTTGCGGTCTTCCTTACAGGATCAGTGTGCTACTTGCTGTAGGGACTGGAACTATTTTCGGAAATGCCCGATTGCGAGGCTGCCAGCACGCGACAACCTCAGCATAGATTCGGTGAGAACGGAAGGGAAGGGGACGTCGGCCTCTCTCGCACTATCGTTTGGCGTTGAGGCGATGGCGCCAGAAAGGCAAGGCGGATGGCAAAGGCAAAGGCAGTGGAAAAGGCTCATCCGGCACACTGCACAACGGAAGAACGTGATCTTATATGATTGTTAAACTGTATGTATGCGCAATGTCTATTATTGTATTGTTCATATACTGGAATTAAGCTTTCTATTAGTTACATTTGTCTAAACCAACTTCGGCAGATTCAGAAGCCCTTGCAGGCAAGTCGAAGGCCTCCACTGCCGAGCCCAAGGCGAAGCAGAAGTGGAAGCCGGCAGTCGCCTTATTGGGTTTGGGGTTTAGGGTTTGGGGTTTAGGGGTTTAGGGGTTTAGGGGTTTAGGGTTTAGGATTTAGGGTGTCGCAGTATGGCAATGATTGTTGCCTTTGGTCCTGGCTTTTGTCATTTCCTGTTTGTTCAGTTGTTCACTTGATGTGTGTATATATGATATAGGTATGCATATGGATACATAGGCTCCTTCATTTACCGCTGCTCGTTGTTATCATCAATCTTGGCATGGGCACACGATTTGTTTTATGTGCATAGGTATTTGCTGTTTCGGGCCTTATTATTTGACTGCTTATTATATGTATTATTCAACAGAACTTCTATGATTGTGCTCGTCATCACCATTATCATGATCTTCATCTTCTTCATCATCCTCATCACAAATACCGCTATCAGAAGTCTCAATCACTACTCTCCACAAAGGGGTAAGGGTTGGGCACAGATAGTGGCTCGCCCGAGGCTGCAAAGAGCTCCAAGTGAGTTCACATTGTGAGAACTTTCGCCGAACCCGGTGAATCTGATGCCGGAAAGGTTTGAATCAAGCAAACGTAACGAGTTTGGAGCTTGTGGTGACGTGGCGAACTTCAATTTCCGTCATCAGCAGTGTTAGTGTGGGATCGATCGGGCCCATGCGGGGAAGTTGTCGCACTTTCCCATGCCTGACCATGCAGAAGGGTTGGGCCCTAGTGCTTGGGCAGCAGTTCTACACTTCTCAGCTCATGTGCAGATGGCCCAACCACGGATTGCTCTGTAGTCTGTGCTCCCTGCGCTTCGCGGGGAGGAAAGGTACAACACCTGTCACTATGAATTCAACCTAATACGTGCTACATGTCTGTCTGGAGCCAGCCCCTTCAATGCTAGGATTGACTAACGCATTGACTAAGTCGCTCTGCCTCTGTCATCTTTAGCCATCAAACAATGAAGGGCAAGACTGGCCGGCCAGAGACATGTGGCGCTCATGCCTGTGCCGACAACTGTCGGCACGCTGTTCTGCTCGTCAGCCCACGAGACGTGGTGCCTTGTGGGGCAATGAGCTGAGGTGTTGGTAATCTTGTTTCGTAAAAGGCATCAGGCTTAACGGGACGGCAGGATGGATGAAAGCAGAGGCCGTTTGTGGCTTTCAGCTCAATGCTCTCATCGCGAGCGAGCGGACACGCACAGTCAATCTCTGACGCCGCAACACAGCTTTCTTACTTGATGCGGAACGCACATCCCTGTCAATGGAGCCGGGAGTCCAGCAAGTGCATCGTGATGAGGTCAGCGGTCAGACCTCTCTGAGGTTGCATGACATGTTTCATAGAGCTAACCTGGACTGCGGCTATCCAAGTGTCCATACAACGAGACTTTCCATGTGTCAGCAGATGCCGCGCACTCCATAGTTTGAAATTGAAAAGAGTGTCGGCTCGCTTCGAACTGGTTAAGCTTTCTTTTCATCACATGTTTTTCTTTTCATCGCATGTTCATGCTCTGCAAATGCCTCTTCATGTCCCGGTTCAAAAAGGTGGACTGTAGAGCACAACATACGACATGCCGTGCAGCCTAGCCTCCTAGCCTGCTGGTTAGGCACACTGCGGAGGGTTTCGTCCAGCAGGAGTGCAGTGAGCCACTAGAAGGCCCGACATGTGGTTTCAAGTCTTCGTGCCCGTCAGGGGAAGTACTGTAGCATCTCGGATGGGATGCAGTCTCTGGTCGCTGGCATCCATGAATTCTTCGAGCGAGCCAACCAATTGGAGACCTGGTTTGCAAGAGGGGACAGGATCGACACGGCACTGATATTGAGAATCCTGTTGTTGTTACTTCATGAGGTTTGCGTGATTGTGTAAGCCAAGGCCATGGCCTCATGTGGGTCTTGCTATGGACCAGGCCGCGAAAGGCCGCGCATGGGAGCGTGAAAACCCACCTAGCACCTGTGTAGCAGACCCTTGCCATGCCAGGGTCGAAGACGTCTTGGAGTCCATGTAAGCTGTGAAACCTTCACCTGCCCCTGGGTACTTACGGGGGGCTCTGCATCTCTTGCAACGAGGCAGCCTTTGGACGCATCATTGTTGAGCCTCTTCGATGTGAGCCCCATCGACCATGAAGACATGGAGGCGTGTCAGAGGTAGCCGCAGTTCTCCACACGTCGGTCAGAGCCTTCTGCCAAAGCTTCTTCGAGGCAGTTCGGGGAACACAGAAAGGTGCTCGACTTCTGCACGAAGCGCGGGTGGAGGATGGGGAATACCGACTAGACGTGCCATCTTCCCTCATTGTACCATCAAAGCACCGCTGCTCGCAGGAGGCTATCCGGGAGTTCCACGCGGTCTGCAATCGAGTGCCGAGGCTCCGGCCAGCAGCGTCGGTGCTGCACAGAAAAAGTTAAACCCCTCCCTTCCCCATTATCTCAACATTAGCACAAATGTTGCTATCGTATACTATAGCGGTATCTTATAGTATTTTACTGCACATTATCGTGTTTTTATTGTGTATCAGAGTATATTCCAGTGTGTTATGGTATAATCATAATAAGGAACCCTAAGGAATAGTCGTGGTAAAGGTTCAAAAATCCAAATTCAAGCCTTGGGGAAACGGCCTTAACCCGAACCCTCGTGTGTGCTATGCCGAGTGAGCTGCAAATCTTTCAAAATGTGCAGATTTCGTGTTGGAATACGGACGCAAGCAGATGAAGTGTACCAGCTCATCAGCTACACTAGAGTACCCGGCACAAGCCACGATCACCGGCTTCACTACATGCCTTCTCGTCGATGCCGGTTGAAGCGGAGGAGTGCACCGGCTCGGTGCAACCTTGGAGCCGCGTACTTCGAAAGAGGCGATGAGGCCACCCCTTGCGTCTCCTCGCTGGCCGCGTGCGGGGAGGGATTAGGGAGGCAAGGGGCTCACAGTAATCTACAACAAGGATCCCTTCAAAGTGTTCAGTCAAGGGTTCCGGCTGAAGCTCGCACAGTCTGACAATCACCGTAAACTCTGAATGCCAGGACGCGGCATTGCACTGGTTTCGAGAGGCATACCGTGTGACGCTCAGGGGCTTCCCACCAGAAGCCTTGACGCTCTGCAACTGTAACAGCTGACCACGTGCGAAGTCAAATGGTGTTCAAACTTCCCACTTCACGCAACCATACCGTAATCACTGTCACGGCCGCTGTATATCTACCACTCAGACGCAGCCTGCACGGGAATCTGATCGCTGGCTCGCTCTAGGCCTTGACGAGCGAAGCAGCCGTATTCTCCGCGCCGTGGCCGTGTTGGAGCAGCGCGCAGGCAATTTTTCTGAGGCCAGAGCTTGAGGGGAAGCCTGCCGTAGAACTTTGCAAGAGCCTCAGTAATTGTGTTGCAGGCTTAGACTTGGATTAGGTCGGATCCGCAACGTCATATCGTCATTGTCAGGCGCTGTGGCTATTGCGGAACTACTTGCCCCTGGGCATTTGTTGGGCAAATCTAGCCATACAGTTCTCATGAGAGGCTGAGCCACAGAGCCAATGCTTCAAAGAAACAGATAGCTCAGTCAGTCAGTCAGTCCGTGTGTGTGTGTGTGTGTCTGTGCAGTGTCACTCATGTTTTGATCCGCCGCACTCTGCTTTGCCGAAAACTACGGGGGTGGGGAACCATCTCCTGGTTCATGACTCGATTCAAAATACACCGTCTTCGCCGGGACGAACCTGCAATTTGGAAAGTTTCGACTCCCGGAACCTGAAACTGCTGCAGCCATGGGTTTAGAGTCTAGAGTTTGGGGTAGATTGCAGGTCGTGGTCTGGCTAGACCTGAGTCCAGCGGCAAACGCGGTATTTGATGGGACAGCAACGGACCCACAGCAGAAGTACAGAGAAGTACTGCATGGCATCGCACCGCATCGGCACATTTGGTGACTTGAGGCAAGAAGTCGATGAGTTCAACATGCAGGCCTTGCATTTTCCAGCGCGACCTGTGCTGTGCAGCCTGACCTAGCCGGCTTAGCCATCGTCTTATTGTGGCTTGTGTTTGTGGATTGTGAATACAGCAGCGTGGCCACCAACTTGACGAATCCTGTGCCACCACACCACGGCTTAAGCCCAAGGGCTGGGCAGCAAATCCCTTGACTTAACCTTTCTTCTGCTGCGTTCAGAATACCCGGGTCGCCTGCAGCACACTGAATGTGAGTTTTCACAATCGGAATCTATAGTAAATCATATACAGTACGTAGGCTTTCCCTATATGGTCCCCTTAAGCTACGTCCCTTAGCAAGAGCCCAGCAGGTGCAGCACCAGCTCGCCTGCCTTCACAGAGAACGACACCAGTGGGCTCAAGCAGCCGCTTGCTACCGGAAACTCCTGAAGGCCGGCTCTGCAAAAGCCTAGGGTCTATAGGGCTTAGGGTTTAGGGTTTAGGGGTAGTTTAGGGTTTAGGAATCATCGTAACAATAAAAACTGACCAGCAATAGCAGTAGTAACGCTTTTTGGTATTGTTTTTGTTAGTAATATTAGTAATGTTATAGCCATTATCCCCCCAAAAGCCAGCCCTTTAGACTGGGGCTGTTCTTAAATGCCATAGTTTAAGCTATCATAATGAGGAAACCTTTTTTGATTAACGATCATCCCTATTACGATCTTGAAATGAAGCTCCTTGACAAGAGCCCTGTAAGCCAAGCAGATCCTGAGAGGCTGATCCCAGCAATCGGGACTACGCCCGCGAGCTGCAGAGCTGCTTGGACCGGGCACCCCTTGAAGGGGACCTCTGGGCGCGCGGCGACAGGCCTGTTAAGTGCCCGTTCCATGCCTGGGCCTCGCAAGGTAGTTCTCTAAATTAGGGTCCCTTTTAGGATCCTTTGTATAAGGGTGCCGTACCCTAAATGGGGTCCGGATTTAGAGAACTACCCCACATTCTTTTCTCGGGGGCCATGCAGGTCAGAGCTGATTCCCCAGACGCGTCGGGGCCCTCGAGACGAAGGGCGGGATTTGATCTCCCAGTAGTGTAGGTTTAGGGTTTTGGGGCCCTCCGATGGTGCAGTAGTTTGCTTTCAAGGGATCTTCAGTCTAAGCTTCCGTCAGTTGTCATCAACAGCTTTTCCTGCGCGCTCTTGCCTTAAGACGGGGTGAGGGTTGCATGGGCGCTGGCCGGCACTTCAGTCCGTGCTGAAAGGGGTGGAGGACTTCTGCCAGAGCCTGTGCGGAAATGAGAGGCTTTCCGTCTGTACGTGCCAGTGAGTCCCTGCAGAGGTACCGATCAGTACACGACCTTCTAAACAGCCTTATTCAGGAAGTCATCGTGACCTTTCATTGTGCAACATTTGCAAATCAAAACTGAGCACTTAAGTGTCGAAGGTGTTTCGTCCGATCTTGCTTACACTGCGGCCTGGTTTACTGCTTCAGCTACTCCCCAAACCTGTTGCAGGCGAGGTCACCGAAACTTCGATCTTGAGCGGCTTGAGCGTTTACATGCCTCCGCTGAGCTTTTGCTGCCTTTCCAGCTGACAAAACCCTATAACCCCTGACCAAACTCCCTTTGCACAGACTTGTACATGCCCGCCTGGCTCTGAGAGCTGCTGCACTCGAGGCCGAAGCCCTCAGCAGGTGTAACATCTGGGAGTTTCCGAAAATAGGGGGTACCTTATTTTGGGGTCCTTATAATAAGGATCCTATTATTTAGGGTACTATATTAGGGTCCCCTATTTTCGGAAATCTGAAGCTGAACTCCCTGAACCCTAGCCCTTTGTGCGAGCGTGAGAGTCGAAATGCCCTAAACCCCTGTACTTTACGCTCAGGATCCGAAAGGTCGTCTGAGCTGATCCTGCATGGCCCAAACCGCAGTCTACAGAGCCTTGGCTGCCCTCAGTGGCTTTGACACCTGGGAGTTTCTTGACTCCTTAAACCACCTTGTAGACCCCGTCGATGCCCCATAGATTGCTCATAAAACCTCGATAGACCCCTAAACCCCTGCCACCCCTTAAAACTTAAAGCCCGATAGAACTTATACTGGGTTCTTGTTAAGGGTTTAGTTTAACTTGCCATGATAAGAAAACCATACTATTTACCATAGATAACTGTTATGGTAGTCTAAATTAAAAATTCCTGAACAAGAACCCAGTATATGGAACCCTGGGAAAAAAGCGCTTCTAAGTGCGGGCCAGGATGGAGAAGTATGCTCGAGCCCCGAGCCAAGAAGTCCGCGTCTGGGATGCGAGAGGTCCAGACAGAGGCCGGGATCTTGGGTTAAGGCTTTGGGTTTTGGAGTTTGGGGTTTAGGCTTTGGGATCTTTTCCGGTATGGGGGTTTACTGTTCTTGCTGTTTCGGATTCAGGGTTGTCTCACATACTCAACTACAGGATCAGGGGACTTACTTGGCAGGGTGCGTCCCAGTCCAGGATTGGGGGACTTGCTTAGTGAGGTTAGAATTTAGGAGACGGTAGCTATGACTACTGATTGACCCTAGGCATGGCCGAGCCAAGCGGGCACCGAGTGTTGGCAGCATTGCTGGGTACCCCCGTCTTTTGAACGCATCGTAGAGGAGAGCTCCACTCTACTTGCAGCACCATCCCGAATGAAGTTGATCCTTGGACAATGCCCGAAAACGCTCTGCGGCCCGAACTGAGCTTGAAATTCCCCGGTTCTTTGCAGCCAAGTGACCTGCCTGACATGGCAGTTTCAGCTCCCCCTGCTGGGGTTCTGGGAATGGGGCCTGACCCGAATTGGATCGATAATTTCACAACCTGTATCTTCAAACAGGACTACGACACAGCGCGAGAGGTGCTGCGATCTGCCATAGCACGCGGTGCCAGCACACATCTTGCGGAGCAGTATGCTAAGGTTCTTGAAGAGTTCTTGACAAAGCGCGATGAGGTCGAAAACCCTGTGGTTCTTGCTCGCTTCGACGAGTGTGTGGTTCGCGAAACCAGCAGTGGGCAAGGTCGCGGCTTGTATGTTCCAAGCTACCAGACTTGGGGTGCCCAGCTTTGGAAGGAAAGGCCTCTTGCGTATATACAGTCACCAGGAAGCCGCAAGTGCGTGCAGGTTTGCTGCGCGTGCCTGTTACCTGTAGGCAGCTTAGCCTCACAATTGAAGTACATAAATCTGGAGCCACCGCCTGGATCCGAAAAGATCCCTCTCTCAACATATCCCGACGAAGTGTGCCCGGACGGCTTTTGCCCCGGTCAAGTCATCACGTGTGACGGCAACGACTGCTCAGAAGTCTTTTGCAGCGAGTCTTGTCGCAGCTGGGCGCTTTCGGAGTCCTCCCACGCCATCCTTTGCAAGGGCCGCCTTGGTCCAAAAAGCTGGTCCGCTCTACAAAGCCTGGAGCTTCTGGCGATCGAAACAGACTCAGAGCATCTGCTATTGCTGGCGCACCATGTGGCATGCATGACGCTGGCCAGAAGATCTGGTCAGTCCTTCGAAGCTGTCAAACACCGCTTTGCCTCTCAATTCGCTTCAGCTCCATGGGATAGCCTTGCAGGGGCGGACGACAGCGATACGCCGGAAGAGAGGAGGCGATGCATGTCGTGCGCCATCCCTCTCCTCGAGACCATCTTTGAGGCTGAGGACTTGGCATCGGGCTTCTTGGACAGCGAGCTCTTGAGCAACATACTTGGAACCTTTGAGCTGGTGAACATGTGCATCAGCCTCCCACATCCTCTCAACAGCCGAGCCGATGTGGCAGACTACCTGACAGAGGAGCTGGCAGAGGCCCTCTCTAAGATGCAGGAGCCTCTGCAAAGCGACTCAGAGTCCGAGCAAGAGACAGAACACGCCTCAAGTCCCTTGGCTTCTGCACGACAGGGACAGCTTTTTGAGAATGTTATTGGCACCGCTCTGTGCGAGGCTTTGGCCTTCACGAACCACTCTTGCCTTCCGAACTGTCGCATCGAGTTTGCCACGGCGAGCCAGCCAGAAGCAAAGGGTCCAGGACTTTGGATGTACTCCGTCACTCGCCGACCCCTGGTGCCCGGTGACGAAGTATTGATGGCCTATGTGCCGTCTGTGGTGGGACAGCCGCTTCAGGTGCGGCAGCGGAAGATGCAGAAGTTTGGCTTTACTTGTCACTGCCGAACCTGTGAGACAGATAGGGTGCTGGAGAGTGAGCCTGTGCCAGTTGACACGAGCTCGGGATATCCGCAGCCATGATAAAAACAGTTGGCATTGAGTGGATCCGAGAGAGTTGGGAATCCGTGCCCGTGCCTTGAGCACCACGGAGCTGTAGGAGGTGTTGCAGATGGATCGAAGGAATTGCCTCTTCAAACACAAAGTATGTACATCGAGAGAGGGCACAACAGAGGTAGGAGAATAGAGTATCATGCAAAATAAGCACTATAAGAATATTACCGCATGAGATTACACATGGGGGTTTCCGAAAATAGGGACCCTAATTTTAGTACCCTAAATAATAGGATCCCTATTATAAGGACCCCAAAATAAGGTACCCTATATTTTCTGAAACTCCCACATCCGGCAGGTCGTGGAGGGGCAGAATGTGCCGAGCTCAGCCTTGCTGCTGAGTTGGAACATTGGTCCCGGCAGGCTTGCTTACTCAGGTAGACAGGGTTTAGGGTTTAGGGTAGACAGATTAGAAAGTTTAGGGTATGAGGTCCCTTGTGAAAAGTTTAGGGGGTTTTTTGTCTGGCTAGACTTGAGTCCGGTATAAAGAGGAGAAAGGACATTTTGAACCCTCAACCCTCAGCAGTAAGGTGACTTGGGACACGTTGCTCAAACGAGAGAATCCGGGGCCATGGGGCCGGAAGTCCCCTCCTCGGCTAAGGTCGGTTGGGCAGCGCAGACCGCCGGACGCCAAGGGACGAGATGCCGGAATTGAGAAGATATTAATATCTTTAGTCGTATTGGTACTCTTAATATTTTTAATGTTACAGGTACCCATATAACTACAATGAAAAGCAACAATGCTTGTCAATATGAGCCTTCCTCTTCTTGTTATTATTACTGTGATTGGTACTATGACGATCCTGGATATTACTAATCATCATTCTCGGTATTATTGCCAATCTTCAGTGCTGACCTTGCGCGGAGCCTGGAGTTTGCTGCATGGAGGTACTTTGGCTTTTGCGGTCTGGTGCTGTCGTGCTCATCCTTGCAGGATCTAGCAAATTCTAGGGGACTCCTGCTGCCCGACTATTGACAATGGCTCGTGGTCGAAGTAGCTAATTAGGAAGATTCCATCGAGGCATAAGATCTGTGTGGTCCGAGCCCATCAGACCGAGGTAGATCTGGTTCTGCTGATCGCCGAGGCGGGATTGCAAGCTTCTATTCGTTTGATAGACTCCAAGATTCTATCTTTAGTCTTGTTTGGCTGGCTAATGAATGGTGTCCAGAGCCGTTTTGCCTCAAGAGTTTGCAGAGCGGCGTGGCGCATAACCATGACGTCAGCATCCTTGGTCATGCTGCTGTTCGTGCCAGCCGCTGCTTTCTGCGACAGGGACGATGCGTCTCTTGAGTGTGCTTCCTTGCTGCAACATCAGCGCCGTTCCCAAAATCTTGATGGGACCTACGTCAGCAAGTAGAACCACGTCTTCGTCACGAGTCGTGAAGGACCCTGAAGGCACTGTGTGTTTACTTTGGTGTCTTCAATCACTTGGAAGCCATTTGGGGGTCTGAGACGTTTCCATTCGCCTCTTGCCAAGCCCCCTGACGTCCCCAGAGCCTACGTATACACCCGATATGTAAAACCCTACACTCTCGTGTCCCGTTTTATAGGGCCTACCCCCCTTTGCTCAAGGCCAGGTGTCCATTTTGGCGTTGCGGGTTCATGGCTTCAGCTGAGGGTTTGAGTTGCTACTACACTGTCTGTGCACTTATGAAGCCACCCGGTGGCTGCAGTCGGCCGTGCAGGCGCCGGAGGTCTGGAATGTAATTTTTAGGTGAGGGATGGTGCAGGTCGAGGTTGCCATTGGTGGTTGTTAATTTTGTTGTTGTTTTTGCTTGCGCCTGCGCGCTGATGTGCTTGTCGTTCTTAGGTGGACTAGCAACTGAAAGCTATGGGGTTGTTCATAATTTGTCTTCCTCTTCGTTGCCATTGCAGGAGTCGTGATCGCGGATGGCAACACGACCGCATGCAAAGCTCAATGGCCTTTCCTAGCAGATGGTTATGCAGTGACACAGGGTCACTACGACACTGTGAACATGGTGGGCACGGTGGACCAATTCTTGATGTCCCAGAAGGTGGGCGGCGGTCTAATTTGTGCAGGGGCACATGTTTCCAGCAGTGCGTGCAGCACCCACCGCAGGTGACCATGGCCCCGATTGGGATTGAAGGCGGCTATTGGTTCATGACAGGCGACGGCACGGACTTCGGGGAGCTCCAAGATCTCGGCGTCAGGCACACTGGAGCATTTTGTGCTTGGGTGAAAAATGGAGGGGGGCGTAGTAGCACAAGACAGTCAGTTCTCCGCAGAATGTTGCCCAGGCGCATATCATTCTACTTTCCAGACTCGAAAGATCTCACTCAATGGGTCACCTACGCTATCTTGGGTGCCGAGTTCTTGGACCCCCCAACGTCGATGTGCGTGTTTAGCAGCGCTGATGTGCCCGCTCTGAAGCATTACCTGGCAGCTGAGAAGGCCAAAGCAGGCCTTTAATGAATGCTTTGGTTAGTTAGGCTTGCACGGTCAGTGCATTTTATACCGTTCTGAGAAGCCAGGCTTTGGAGGGTGCAATTCACCTTCAAGCTTATTCGAGACACTGTGGGGCCTTGGCAGCTTTTGCCATCTGAACAAGATCCAACGAGCTGGACCCAAAAGCCCGCCCTCCAAATTGAAGATTGTACAGTACCTGCTTGTCCTGAAGGCCCCACGAGTGACCTAAGATGCTTATGTCGTGCCAGCCTCCTGCTGGAGACAGCATTTAGGAGTTTCCAAAAACAAGGGGTACCTTATTTTGGGGTCCTTCTATTAAGGATCCTATTATTTAGGGTACTATATTAGGGTCCCCTATTTTCGGAAACCCCCATTTCTGTAGCCTGGCCCGGCCCGAGCCTTTCGGAAGCCGGCATCGAGTCGCCCAGCGTCCAGAAGTCAATTTGACTGAAACGCGCCTTGGGCGGTCACGTGGGAGGGAGGTGTGAGTGCAAGCCACAACTAGTTTGTGAAGGGGGAAAGAAGGGGAACGGCGCAAGCTTCCGTGCCCTTTGCGCCCTTTGTTGGACGTGCTTTGTTTGCCCCTAACACTGGTTTAGAGTCTAGAGTCTAGGGTTTCATCTACCTAAACCCTAAACCCTAAACCCTAACTGCTTCTTAGAGCATGGCATGGGACTGGACCGCCTGACTTCAAGGCCGCTTCTCGTCTGCAGATCGCCTCGGCCTTGGAAGACTCCCCTGCAGAAACCCTAAACCCTTTAGGGTTTAGGGTTTAGGGTTACCCTTCGTTCCCAGCTGCAAAGGGGCTACGGAGCTTAGGGGATCCCAGTCGTCAGACCAAAAGCCGGCGGAGGTCGAATGGCCTCTGCAGATCGCGAGCGACTTACGCGCCCCTTCGGGTTCGGGGTTCAGCGTTTAGGGTTTAGGCTCCCTTCGGTATCTCTGGTGCAGCTAGACCGGCCCTCTGTCTTTTTGGGCAAATTCAGCCCGGGCACGGGCCACGGTGCAGAAGCTCTGCTGTTGACATTGGGCCGCTGCATGAAGAGAGATAGTCAAACAGAGTCAAAGTCCCAACCCTGCTGCAGCATGGCAGCCCGGATGAGCTGCGGAGACGACTTGATTGTCGGCAGATGTTTCGTAGAGAAGCTCTACTAGCAGCTCCATCTTCTTGCTACCTTCTTCTAGCCATCGGACCATTGGAATTTGGGTCATCAGTGGGCCCCACCGAACAACTGGATTTTTGAGGTCGTGCTGGTTCGGCTGATGGCAGTGGGCTCAGTGGGCCGTGTCAAGCTGTATTGGCCACAGCCTGCTTTGCATGTGTGAATGTGCAGCGTTTTGTAAGCATGTCTGTGCAGACATGTACGGTGAGATGTGAGATTTGTTACGTGGCGCTGCATGTATGAGCATGTGCCAGTCAGCTAGGGTATCTGGCTCGTGGGATTGATCGGTTGCACATGTTGAAACTCATTCTCACGCTCCTACCAAGCTCCGATCAGCGTTTGCCAAATACACTTGAAGCTAATGAGGAAGTTCGACATGTCATGCGGTTCCCGAATGATTCCAATACAGCCGATCTTCTTCTGTGATGGGATGCCGGCTTCGACTGTCTGCCCCATATGCCTTGCCATCAACATTGCGCCTCCTGTGCCTCCAAACGGACTGCAGCGGCTGCAAAGTGCTGACACTTGAGCGCCGAGCAGGACTGCTGCTCCATTGCTAGCGCTTCTTTCAGGTGACTTGCTTGACGAGACCGTCCTATGTGATAGGATGGCTCCGAAGAACCTGGCAATCGATAACTTCGTGCTGCGACGCCGGCTGCAGCGTGAGGAGCGCAGACAGGTTTCAGTTTTAACCGTCATGACAACTTAAACTTACACTCGGCGAGGAGAATCGAGCAACTGCACTGGAACAAGAGTTGTGGAACAACCGCCAGGCCCCGGCTGCTACCGGATGGGTATAGGGTTTAAGGATGTAGTGTGGTGGTGGTGGCAGATTCCGTTGACATCGGCTCTTTCAGAAGCAGGAGGAAGCCGCTCGAAAGGGACTGGAGTCTTTGAGAAACCAGAGCAAACCGCTCGAAATGGACTAGAAACGACTAGAATTAGCAATCGCTCGTCGCTCGGAAATGAGCAGAATAGTTTAGGAAAGGGGAGCAAACCGCTCGAACGTGACTAGACTAGTAGAGAAACCGGAGCAAGCCGCTCGAAACGGACTAGCGTATCAGTATCGGAGAAACAAGAGCAAAACGCTCCAAAGAACGTAGAGTGCTTGAGAAAACAGCAGCGATCTGCCCGAAAGGGACTGGAATAAGCTAAAACGGGAAGCCCCCTGCTCGAAAGGGACTTGAGCATCCAAAAACGCAGGATCAATCCGCGCGAAAGGGGCCAGAGTGTTTGAGAGGAGCATGCCGCTGGCAGGGGACTGGGGTACGCGGGATACAGGAGCAAACCGCTGGAAAGGGACTGCGTATTTGACAGACAAGAGCAAGCCGCTCGAAAGAGATTAGAGTAATTTAGAAAAAGGGAGCACGCAGCTTGAAACGGACTACGGGGTTTGAGAAACAGGAGCGATCCATGTCAAACTGCTCGAAAGGGTCCGAGGTTATTGAAATGCAGGAGCACACGACCCTGAAGTGGTTTGAGCAGTCCAAAAAGGAGGAGCAATCCGCGAGAAAGGGATTAGAGTATTTGAGAAACAGGAGCAAACAGCGCGAAAGGGACCTGGGTGTGTGAGAAACAGGAGCAAACCGCTCGAAAGAGACTAGAGCAATTTAGAAAAAAGGAGCACGCAGCTTGAAAGGGACTACCGTCTTGAGAGACAGACCAAACAGCTCCAAAGAGCCTTGAAATGAGAATTTAAGCAACAAGTTTTAGAGGCTTTGAGAAACAACCGCAAACCGCTCAAAAGGGACCGGAGCATTCGAGAAAGAAATCGAAATCCGTTCGAAAGGGGCTAGAGTGACTAGAGTCTTTCCGAAACAAGAGCAAATCGCTCCAAAGGGGGTAGAATTATTTTGGAAGCAAGAGAAATCTCGTCGCTCGGAAGGCAGCAAAATAGTATAGAAAAAGGGTGCAAACCGCTCGAAAGAAGGAGGACTACATATTTGAGAAACCGCAGCAACAGGAGCAAACCGCCCGAAAGGGACTTGAGTATCAAAGGGATTAGAGTAGTGTAGCAACAAAGGAGCGCACCGCTCCAAAGTAAAGGGGCTAGCGGCTTGGAGAAACTTGAGCCAACCACCGGAAAGGGCTAGAGTATGCGAGAAACAGGAGTAAACCGCCTAAAAGGGACCAGACTATTCGAGAAACAAAATCGAGCCCGCGCAAAAAAAAAGAACCGGAGTATTTGAGAAACAGGAGCAAACCGATCGAAAGGGATAAAATTATTTGAGAAAGGAGCAAACTGCTCGAAAGGGGCTAGAGTGTTTGAGTGCGCTGCCAAACCTTCATAGAAATAGGTCGTTGTTCCACCGCTGCTGGGGTCTGTTGCTGAGATAATTTTGATATTGATCTTGCCGACGACAGCCATTGTGATGACAATGGCGCTCCTGGAGCTCATGGTCGTGCGGGTGCTCAATTGCTGTCGCAAGGGTGCTCTTACTATGCGTAAGTACTTGTTCAATATGCAATGTGTGACCCTTGCAAACATCACGAGAGAAATGTTCTGAAAGCCATGTTGACAAGGCTTTTGCACAGTTGTTCAAAAGGCAGTGCAGTTCGGAAGTTTGAGCGACAGGTTGAGCGACAGCTGAATCGACTCGACCAGCGTCGCTCCACCGCAGCCACCGCACGAAGCCAGCAGAGGCCTAATTGCTCTCTCATGCAATACGATGGCGGTATATGGCGGTGGCGAAGAGCTGAAATGACTGACCGCATAGTTCATGCACATGTCTCCGTTGCAAGGAGAACTGCCATCCTCGAAACCAGTTTCAGCCTTAATCCTGGCGAAGACTTCGAGTCTTCAGATGCAGCTGCTTGGACCAGAAGTCCACGTGCGAAATTCTACACAGGCTCTAGGATCTAGGCCTTGGATCCATCAAATTATCTCTTTTTCTCAATCTGGATTCGTCTTCCTTTTCCCCGGCTTGTAAGGGTTGCTCTCAACATCTGGAGCGCTGCGGGCTTCTTGCATCTCTTTTGAGGGCTCCCCAACCCTGAACATCCCTGAAGCAGCCGGTGCCATTGGATAGCAATCCTGGCTGCCGGGTACCGCATGGTACAGCAATGTCCAGCTACTCCTCTAGATGATTCGGGTTTTCTGGTTGTGGCTGCTGCGGTCTTGCGAAAAGAAGATGAAGAGGCCGCTGGTGTCCTGCGGCCCACTGAGTTCAACCAACAACCTCTTTCTTCCCTGACGTTTTTATTCTGTCTCCAGAGGTGCAATATCCAGTAAGATCAACGGCGTTCGAGCGACATGGGACATTGCAGCTGGCTGTTTGTACTTGTAAGTGCTTCTCCATTGTCGTAGCTTCAGAACATCAGATGTCTGCAGACACGGATGCAAATCGAAGCTCCGGAGAAAAGCCTGGAAACGATTCCTGCAGTTCTCGACGTGGAGATGAGACTTGATCCGAAAGTGCAGGAGACCAAACGTCATTGTGCCAAGGACTCGGCCACATCGGAAACGTGGGCACCCTCGCGTCGAGGTCGGCGCTCCACGGTCGCAGAGCTGCTCCCAGCGCAGGCTCGGAATTCGGCCGTTTCCTAGGAAAAGGTAGTTCACATCTAGTTGCTAGACTCTAATGTAGTAGCTATACGGCAATAAAGCTTCATACATTAGAACAAATTATAGAATATCTAGAAATATAATAGAATAATTCGAACACCCACCTCCTCAAGCAGTTTTTGCTTAGCGTCGCGCACTGTCCCTGTGCAGTCCATGAGCCTCCGCTCCATGGATGGCATCCCGGACGAAATCGCGCGGCTCGAAGCCGCGCCTTGTCTGCAACCCCACGGCTTAGGGTGTAGCATTAAAGGGTTTAGGCTTTAGGGTTTAGGGTTTTAGGGTTTTAGGGTTTAGGGGTTTAGGGTTTAGAGGTTTAGAGGTTCAGGGTTCGCGTTACAGGGTTAGGCGAGACACACCCACGCAGCGTGGGGTCGGAGCTACAAGTCAGTCGTGACATGCTGCAAGCGTGTTGCATCGTGTTGCTGTTGGCTCAGCGCGTAGAGATCCGTAGAGGTGGGTGCAGCGTCCACGTAAGTGAGTGTGTGTGTGTGTGTGCGCACTCTCATGTTCGACATTCCGCGAAGGAGAACCAGGAGCTTCGAAACCAAATCTGGCTTTTGGAAAGCACCTTGGCGTCAACTGTAGGACGATGGTTTGCAACTTTGGCCGATGAAGGCATTCCGGGTATTCCACCATCCTAAGGCAGCGAAGACCAGTCGCAGCAGGAGACATGCGTGCATCATCCAGCCGTCATGGGCATAGTTCCCCCTGACTCCAGGCCCTACCAGATTCTATCCGAGTTGCGAGAGCGTAAACCCCTAAAACCCTAAACCCCCTCCCCAAACTCTAAACCCCTAAACCCTGAGACCAGTCGTGTGCGGAAAGCGAGCGAAGCTTTGCCCCGAAGGAGGCCTTCGCTCGAAGACGCATGAGCAGCTCCAGCTCGCTGCAGGCCATGCTTCATTTTGTTTGTTCTCTCTCTCTCTCTCTCTCTTTCTCTCTCTGTTATATATATATATATATGACATATGTATAACTTATATTATATAAATATATGTATATATACATGTATGTATATGTATATATATATACACATATACATGTATATAGATATACTAATACATACCTACCGACCATACTATTTGTGCTTATGACTCTTTGTTTGAATGTGTCGCATGAGACTTGTTGTGTAAGCCAAGCTTTGAAACTCTTGTGCGGCACTAGGATTTGGAGATCTCTTTCCAACCAAAGCGCCAGCGCAACTTGGAGTGCAGAGTTGTCCCTGTCCTTGCTGACAGGGTTCCAAGCTTCCGTTTTATGTTAGATCATGGTTATGATTATCATCATTGTTAGTATGACTGATCTTCCTCTTATCATGTCTCCGTATGTGCCAAGGAGCCAACTCAGCAAGCGAGGGCGAGGATGATGAAGCAACACGGCCTGGGAAATTAGGCTCTAAACCCTGAGCCCATCCCACCGTGCCCAAGCCCTAAACGTGTTTGGTAGCTGTTAACGCAGTGGAGGGATGGTGATACGTGCCGTTCCCAGTGCCAATGAGCACATCGTCGTGTACCAGGAACCTCGCCTAGACATGTTCGAGAGTGAGTGCTGAAACGTGTTTGGCATAATCTTTCCACGGCAAGGATGAGGAAGCCGAAGGGATCAGAGAAATGATGATGACGAACCGTTGGAGACGCCTGGTCAAAGGGCTGATGTCGTCGCCTGCCAGCAATCAAAGGTGTCGTTAGACAAGGGAGTGTTTCCGAACAAAAACGGCAAATGTCAGATAGTAGAACCTCACCTGAACAACAATGCACACCGAAGCTTGAGATTTCCAAAACCCCTCCTTACTTGCAATAACTGTTGTTGACGCTTCGCCTGGAGAGTCCGGGAACCCCGAAACCCGAAATGTACTGTAAGTCCTAGCTCCTGTAAACCCTAAACTTAACGTCAGTTGCGAGAGCCCAAAGCCTAAGCCGAGGCTGCAGCCCGACAGCCAACTCGAAGCAGAGCAGATTCGAGCTCAAAAGTTGACCGAGCGCAGCCCGACCGAAGCGGTGCTGAAAGAGCGAAGGAGGAGTGCCATCTAACAGTGGGGTCATCAGAGGACAAGAGGCTTGTAGTGGATTACCTCAAATCAAAGGATCCCTTCTGCACGGTATGGCCTACGGATCCCCGATAGGCACCCTTGTTTCCTACATGCTGCAGTAGTTTCGACTGCTCTTCGTGCATGCACATTGCATGGCGACCCCCGTCCGAGGCAACAAAGAGCTACAAGGGAAGATCGTGCCTTGCCAAGAAGATTCGAGCCGCTCACTTTGCCAGGTGTAAAGTGAGTAAATTCTAGCCTGCGTTTTCGTGCCCTTGCGTTGCGAGACTCTTGATGATGGCACGGCAGCGAGAGAGAGGGAAAGTGAGTGCAACATGTTCAACGGGCAATCAACCCTAAACACCATGGGCATTTGACCCTTTTTTGCACTGCAGATGTAGTGAGCATGCACTTGTAAGATTTCACGAGACGCTCCGGTTTTAAGACGCCAACGATGGCTACGCAACAGACCGGCCAGGCATGTGTGACATGGTCCATGCAGCTTGGCTGAAAGCCAATGCTCTCTGAGGAAACCTTGCAGCAACAGTGCCACTCGCAGACTGACAAGCTGCAGCTGGTGCAGTCTCAGGTGCCACATAAGGTTTCGAAGGTATAGATAACCTTAAGCAACAGTCTCCACCCACACAGGAGCCGGCGTAGCAGTGCAGCACCTAAGTCAGCCTTACTCTAGCCACTAGCCTACCGCGGACGGTGTCGCGGGGGAGCACCAAAGCGACCCACATCCTTCGGCTTTATGACGGGAGCTTCGGAAAATGCTCAAGGCACTCCCACTCTAGACCCAAAGAGTAGGATACAGTGGGAGCCTCATGATACTGGCCCTCAAAACCGCCGGATCATTCTTCTCAAGACTGCAATTTGTCGAAAATTAGCAGGTTAGTAGGACAGCCAAATAGGTGGCCCATACCACACATACATGCATACATTGGCCTGCATACATACATACTTCAGTTTGTATTTGTTACGTTTTGGTTTGCTCATGTATGTCACTCTGACCCTACATCTATCTATGTCCGCACGTATGTGTCTATGCGTTGTCTTCGTACCTATTTAAGTTTGCATGTATGTATGTATTTCGTGGTTACATTATATATATATATATTAATTATGCATGCATTGTTCGTATGTATGTATATTTGCATTCTGTGTCTGAATATATCCTTAAATGTGCATGTAGATGAACATGTAAATGTAAATGTGTATGTCTGCACATAAATATATATACATATATATGTACTTATACATACATGCATTCATCCATGCATCCAGCCAGCCCTCCATCCATCCATACACACATATATACGTGCTATCTACATGTTATATATACATATATCATTATGTATTTATACATTTATTTGTTTATTTTTGTTCAAAACATATATGTATGAGCTTTTATTCTATAGTGTATCCCTCTTGTATGGCCAGGTCCAAGATGAAAAGGAAGAGCGGGAGCTCCGTGGCCGAAAAGCTAGAAAGTTCTGGCGCAGTCTGGCACTTTACAGTCGAGCAAGCAGAAAAATGTTTTTAGAAATTCAGAACCACAAACCCTTATACCGGAAAGCCTCAACCCCAAACCCTAAGGCCGTAATCCTAAACCCTTAACCAAGGAAGTGCTTGGAGGCTTTGGAAAGCACCATGGAGAAGCTGAAATCTTCAGAGGAGGAGCCCAGCACACACTATACCAAACACAAACACACACACACACACACACATCCGCGATAGTCACAAGTAGCTGTATAATGTCGGGACCGGATCTATCGCAGCAGCCGGCATTCAGCGCATTGTTGTGCTGTCGGAGTTAGCCATCCGCCAAGTTGGTTTGTCTAGCAAGTTTGTCTATTCATTATGCGGCCCACGGCTGGCGCCAAGACATGACCGTGCCAGGTGTGTGAGATCGCAAAGCAGCACGTCCGGAAGCTGCAAGACGATCTGGAAGCTTCAGAGCTGGAAAGTGCTCAAGCCGCTATGAAGCTCTGCTTTCAATACGGGTTCTGTGCGGGACAAATGCTGATAAGAGCAAGATCTGTCATCTGTGACAGCTAAGGAGGCTTGGGCAACTTGGCTTTCCTACGTCAGCTCAGCTCGATTTGCATTTCTAGCCGTTCTCGCGTAACGCACGAGCTTGCATGTTGAATGTTGAGCCGGAGCAAAATGCACAACGGCCACAACGAAGCGCGAGCCCTCAAATTATGTTCCCTCGATCAGCTCCTTGCTCGGTCTTTCTGGGCTGTGATGACGCGAGCTGGAAAGGGTGGCTGACAAGGTTGCCCTCTCGAGCGCATGCACACGCGATCGGATGTAGTCGGATGTTTCAGGCAGCGATGACCGTTCAAACAATCGCGGGGCCCACTGTTCTGTTTGCAGTGCCCCGTGGCATGTGCAAATAGACCTCGAGACGGCACGAACAAAGCGGAATACATCACTTGCCTATGACTGCGCGGCGGTTCGAGCGGTGCCTGCAGCACGGAGACTCCGAAAAACCCCTGAGACATGGGAGCATGCGGCCCTTGACCGAAAGCACTCCTTTGCGAAGTGGGGTTCTATGTGAGAAAGGCAGAGGCTGCAGTTTGCACTTTTCGGCTGCGCCGCGAAGGATTCGCAGCAGCTTGACCCAAGCTCCGGACATGGAGCCTTTGCGAGATCAAGTTCTCCAAGGCAATGATGCAAAGGTGGGTTTCGAGCTCAGCTTTACCTAGCGGAGCGAGGGGGGCTGTCTCCGTTGTGATGGGTCAGCCTTGCATTTACAGTGAAAGGCCTTTCCCCTGGTGCAGAGCTCAATTTGGTGCAGCGCATGGCGGCCTCTTGTCTTGCAAGCTTGCCGGCCAGAACCTTGAGAACTGTCCCTCCGTTTGGACTTTGGACGTGTGGAGCAGTGGAGAGGGGAGGTAAGTAAGCCTTCAAAGTCCTCGTTGCAACTCTTAGGCGAATGAAGATTGCGCGCACATGTCGTACCTGAAATTTGGTAGACAGTGAGCCCATGTGATCCCTGGGAGCAACCACGTGGCTTGGCAAGGCCGTAATCCGCCGAAACTTGCTCCTTCAGAGGCCGGGTTTTTTTTTGCATGAACTGCGCCAGCTGTGCAGACAAGTCCGTATTGCGAAGCTTCACTAGGGCTCCACAGCACATGATGAAACATTGCGGACCATGGAAGACTTCATAAGAACAACCCTTAATCTACTAGAGTTGTAGAAATCGTTTACACAATCCATGCCGAGCGAGAAAGAGAGATACATATACATATACATATACATATACATATACATGTATGTATGTATGTATGTATGTATGTATGTATGTATGTATGTATGTATACTTACGTGTAGAGGTGTATGCATATACACACATAAATACACACATCGACACATGCGTTGAGGCGACTCTCCGGGCTCCTGGAGTGGCGCTCCGAAGTTACAGCAGCTCGGTTCCGAAGCCTTGGGCAGGGGTCTTACAAGGGAGCGTCAGAAAGACTAAGATACCCAAAATAGTATGAGTATAAATGAATATACATACATATATATAAACATATGTACATCTGTACACGTGTGTAATATAGTAACCACCTACAGATGTATGCATATATATATATATATACATGTACATATGTATATATATATATGTGTATACAGACAGATTATCTATCTACGTGTCTGTCTATCCAATCTATCTATTTGTTTATCTATCTAGAATCTAGATAGATAGACAGAAAGATAGATAGATATATGTGTTTACTTAAACGTATCGATGTACATGTACATGTACATGTATGTATGTATGTATGTATGTATGTATGTATGTATGTATGTATGTATGTATGTATATGTGTATATATATATATATATGTACATAGCTATACATGTAGAATGTAGATGTGTAGAGCCGCAAGAGTAGGAATGAGGACCCGCCCTGTCTTTAGGAACCTTCGTGGCAAGAGCCTGTCGGAGGTGCCCCGATAAAGGATCAGAGCTTGGGTCCTCAGGCCCTGCATAGCTTGAGGTTTGCGAAACCCTGATGCCCAGGATGCCATAACTAAGCGAATGGCGAATGCCTAGCAGCTTTGCCAGTGGAGGTCGGGAAGCTTCAAAACGAGTTGATGCAGAAGGAGCTGTGATCCGTCCTGTGACCAGCCTAGGTAGACAGGCGAGAGATGCAAGATGTACTTTCTTTCATATCGCAGTTTATTGTACATTTCACAGGAGCAAGATGCCACCGAGACTGGTGACGGTGAGATCGGGTGCACTTTGGCCATGGGCTCAGTGAAACCTCCTGTGATTCTCTCTCATGCCGAAACAAGAGAGACAGCCCGAACCCCAAAGCCTTAAACCCTTGATCCAAACCATACGAGAGAGAAAACACCTAATGCCTACACCCTGTTCACTGTCAAGTCCTTTCTACCTTCGGATGAAATTGATTTGGCCAAAAAGCTGGGGTCAAGCTAGAGTAGTGAGGATGATGCAAATGCTGTGCCCTGATCGGACTGAGTCGAGGGTCCACTTGTCACTTGTAACCTTAGAGAAGTGCATATGCACTTGTTGACAGATTCTCGAAGCCATGAAACTGTGGATGATGCCCTGGCTTAAACTTGACATGTACTTTGAAGCCGGAAGCTGATTCTGACCTTTGGAACAAAGCCACAACTTGTATAGCTACACTTTTCTTTCAGAGCGATATCTGCCACACGATGCGAAGTCGCCACACTCTGCTAAGCTCCTTGACTGAACCCCGCAATGCGGGCTTCTCCTCGCTATAGGTGGGAGGCAAGAAGGACACGCCAAACCCTGAAGCCCTACACTCCCAACCCCTAAACCCTAACCCCTAATGAAGCCTCGCCTGCTTGTCTAGTTGTGAGTGCTGAAACCTCGAAACCCTAAACCCCTAAACCGAGTGTGAGCGCCGAAACCC